AGCATACAACAACTGTTTTTTTGGCATTATTTGTGCAGAATTTTTTACTTGTTTTTGGACTGATATGCAGGGTTTGGAGCAGCATACAGCAGCAGTTTTTTTTGGCATTATTTGGCAGCAAGATAGTAGCATAGAAACAGGATTATTTTGGTGGTTTAGCATAAAGATTTCATGTAATTTTAGCACTTTAGGACTTAGGAATTCATGTGTTTGTGTATGGTTTTATAATGAGATATGAAATGGTGATGATTTTGTAATGGAAGTATTTTGTAATCTCTTGGATTCACATGAATGAAAGTATGAATCTTGAATGAAATTCTTGAATAAATTATATGCCAAATGATCTTTCTCTCTTAATTTAATCTCTAGTCCGAATTGACACACAATTTGATTCCAATTAAAATTTGTGTCAAAATTTGTCTTTGAATTTGAAATGTATGAATGATGAATGAAGTTGAATTCTTGAGAAAGGTCTTGAATAACTCTTGATATCTTGAACAATTCACATTAATGAACTTGTACTCCTGAAATAAACCTCGAGAAATTGGAATGCATCTTACTCAAGACATCAAATTCATAAACCTTCTTGAATCTCTCTTGCAAATAAGAACCCTAATGTTTTTTTGACAAACTTAGATATTTTGGCTTTATGGTATTGGTTACTTGAAAGAAAACTTCACAACAATGAATCCAAATCTTGATTCAAATCTCAAATCCAAGTTATCTTGCAAACCCCAAGAATTCGAAGAATTCTCAACCCTAACTCGCGTCTTCACCTCATAGTAATTTGCAATACAAACCAATAGCGCAAATCGTGCCTTTAAGAAACTTAATCGACGATCCACCTTATTCCAATGATCGCTACAGTTCAATTGCAAAATGACTTGAAGTAGTCCACAAGCAATCAAAGAATCATTGGACTGAAACTCCAGTTTCATGAATTATCCCAACAGAAACATCAAACGTTCTTGAGAAAACGTCTGTGGCATGACTTGAACCTTAATCTTTGAAGTAATCTCATAAACAACACTATTTGTGATACTTTGCAAAAGAATCGCCTCAGGACGTTGAAAATTGAAGAAGTTATGACCGTTTGAAATTGAACTTGCAAGGGTTTACTTTTGGTTGGAATGCTTTGAATCGATTTGCAAACTTGATCCTTCTTCTCATTCTAAAGCATCTTGATGCACATGTAAACTAGTGATGATGAAATCTTGACTGTGCTTTGGGGAATTTTGGAAGAAGCTCGAGACCACTTATCGAACATGGCGTTGAAATAAACACACGATCCTCTGAAGATCCTCGAGACAGAAGCTATCATACTTGAAACAACTGTGATCAAAATAAGCCTGAACAAAGCTTTAGAAGTCGTGTCTTGATGAATCAGTCTTCGAGAATCAATAATCAATTGTACTTCTAGCTTGAAGAACTCAAAACCCTAATTGAAGCGCAACGTCTGATGTCCTTGATTTAGACCTGTCTCTGCACATGAAATTGAAGGAAAAAAACACACACATTTCGTGCTTGATTAAAAGTTAGTGATACATAGGCTAAGAATGTTCAAAACACTTGACAATTTCTGCATAATCAATGCTCGAAGGTGAGAGGTTAAAACCGGCTGTATTTAGTGACCTTGACTTCTGTACAAAAATGCAAACAATAAAAATGGGATCTTAGGTAAAAAATTGGGGTATGACAACCTCCTCTTTCACGATTCTCACTCTTTCCTTTGTTACCAACAATGTTGGCTTCAAACTGGTTATTAAATCCTCTTTCCCTCCGTCTTGTCTCTTTATTTAGTAAGGAATCAGTAACAAAATTCATGAAATTTTTTCCGTTTAGAGAAAAGCTACTAAGAGTGACGACTAGAGTGTCCCAACTCTCAAGTAGAGAACTTATGAGTATAAGAGTTTGCAACTCATCATCTATCTCCATGTCAGCTTTCATGATTTGATTCACAATACATTTGAAGGTATTCAAATGCTCGATCATGTTTTGGCCGTATGAGTGCTCCAATTTCACCAATCGTATGACAAGGTAGGCTTTGTTTCTCGACGTCTTCTTTTGATTCAAGGACTCAAGTTTGGTACAAAACGCATAAGTATTGCTATAAGTTGATGCACGCTCGAATAGACTCATATCTATGCATTTTCTAGTCATGGCAATAACTTTCCGATTTTGGAGCTCCCACTCTTTTTGTTCCTTCCCATATGGATTCTCCCTTTGGGAGATTGACTCATGCAAATCTTTGTAATATAGATGGTCTTCCATCACCAACTTTCAATAGGTAAAATTATCAGCAATCATCTTGAACATATCTCCATCATGACTAGTAGAACCCTTTATCTTGAGTGTCATACCCAAAATTTGCCCGCACTTTATCACTACGGTCGAAATTAATTTCAAACTTGGATTTTTATAAAATTCTTTTGATTTACATTAGTATTTTATGGTTTTATAAATATTCATTCTCAAGTCCAATTAAAAATATAATAATTTATTTCAAAGTATTTTTATTTTTAAAATAACAAATATTTGCAATTGGTAACATAGCACAATTGGTAAAGAATGAAGCTTGCAAGTATGAGGTTGCGAGTTCAAATCTTGTGTGTTGCATTTTAAACATTTTTTCTATTTCTTTTTGTTACTAATTTTCTTTTCTTTTTTGGAAATTGAGCTTGAGCTTTTCATACATTTTGGATAACTTAGTCTCTAAGTCTTGTTTAACCTAATTCAACTCTATAAATCTTTAGTCTAATTTTATTTTAACTAGAATATTTACTTTCTTATTAGAAATATATAAAATACAAAGTATAAAAATATATTTTTAGTTTTAGATAAAATTAGTTTCTGCGTACTCGAGTGATTTTCACAATTAAATTAATTTAATATTTTATAAAGATATTAAAACCCACGCAATTCCAAATATTTCATCCGCGAGCGATACGTGGCCACATGATGAGAAAGGCTATATCAGACTCCCTCCGCATCCTTCATGATGAGCAACACGCGGCCAATATCTAGCCACATGATGATGAGACTATATCAGACTCCCCCACGTTGCGTCTTAATATAGCTAACCAATTAAGAACCATTTTCTACTAACTTAATCAAAACTTCAAGATCATTTTCAAAAAAAAAAGATTAAATAGCATTGTCTTCGAATCAAACTACGAATTGCGTCTACAATCACTGAATTTATAACCCAGACAAGGTTCAAGGATAAATTCAAAAGAAATTCTACGTAATCCTATAAAAAACATCAACCAACTACGAACTACGAATTGTGTCTCTGATTCCTCATAAGAGGATACATAGGCATACGGCTAAAATCGTGGCGAGTTCCCCTAATAAAAAACTAAAACCCTATTTCTTAAAGATTGTGCTTCTAAAGCCTAGTATCCTTGTGAACAAGGTAGATGAGGGGTGTCTAACACCCGCCCCTCGTCTAAAACCGAGTCCAACAATCTAGAATCTTTGACTATTTTAAGATTAACCTTTATATTCTATTCCTTAGGATAAAAGTTAAGGGTGACGACTCTTATTTTAAAAATCAGTTACAACATTGAGAACACGGGAAAATAGTTCCTTCAACTAGGAGATTTTGTAAATATAATCGTACACTAGAAAAGTCATCGTGGTTTGTGAATAGTGCAACTAATAAGTTCTCAGGAAAGAGAGGTGGGTCAATATTGACACACTTAAATACTGAGTTTTTTCATAGGCAGGACTTGCCAAGACACACTTTTGTAATATTACGATTTAATTCCAACAAGAATAGTTCTTTTCTGATGTGAAAGATCAAACAATGTTGCAACCAATGAGCATACGAAGAAATTTCTTATGAGTACAACACCGTAGTTACCCAGAGCTCAGACAAAGCTCTGATACCACTGTTGGGAAATAACCTCCATAATTTTCCTCTTCCATGAACTCAAAATAAGCACTAGCGGAAACATGAAATATAAGCGCAATGACAACAAGATTTTAGCGTAAAAAACCTTCTCAATGTGAGAAAGAAAAAACCATGGGACCCTTAAGCCTCTTAAACTTCCACTATAATGATAATGAGAATACAACTTCACCATTAGGCGAATCTCACTAAAATGTACCTCTCAATTTCTAAGGAACACTATTAAATTAACTCACTATTTCTCTCACAAGGAAATTATATGACGATCATTTTTCTTTCTTGAGCAAGACTCTCTTTCTCTCTTACTTATTGTTTTTCTTCTCTTGTGCTTGTGTCTTGAATGCTTACTCATGATCTTTTTTATAGGAGAAGTCAAAGGTTCCTTACATGCATGAAGACACTTGTCTTACCAAGTATCCCTTGCAAAGTATATACCACAACAAGTGTTATTCATGCACTACACCACGCGTACACCGTACACCTTACTATTTATCATCACATGTAACCTTCTATTTTATCAAATGTATGTTGGTCATATAGAAATGGCCGGACCTCATATCTAACACTTTTTTTTTCTAATATGTGTGATATTGACCTTAAGTGACGTGATGTGTTATCTGACGTATTATATCAGTCCAAATAAATAATTTAGATCAAAATTGTGGAAGAAATTTTTTAAGAGAATTATTAATTTTGAAGGAAATATGTATAGAGACTAAAAATGAATTTTAGATTATTTATAAGAACTATATATATACATATTTAATCCTAAATATTACTAGTATTTATTTGTTTTTTCTCTTAAAAGAAAATTGTAAACTTACTTGAGTAGTGTAGACAAGGCCTTTGAAGTGAGGAAAGAAACAAACAACAATGAGTTAAGAATTCTCACTTGAAGTATCTGGTAAGTGCGTAAGCTCAAAATCTAGATTTTTCACAATCAATATACGTTATACTGTTACAAATGATTCATCTTTCAATTTTTCATCACTCAAGGTAACCCTCTCCTCATCCCTCTCTAAACCCCACTTTTCCCCCTTTTTGTTTCTTATTTTCGGTATAAAGTTTGTACCTTTGGAATTCATCTATGGTTTTTGATATGGACAAGAGTATTTATACATTCTTAACTATACACCGTTGGGAGTCCCTTAATCGCATGAATTATAGGTTAGGTTCTCTTAGACCTGTTCATGGAATGTTAGCTTCGAAATTCCTCAATTGGGTCATCAAACAACCTAATTTGGAGCTCAATCATTTAACTCATATCATTTCCACTACTACCCATATCCTTGTTAGAGCTAGAATGTACACTTTTGCCAAAACAACATTGAAACACATGTTGCATATGCCTATTGGTTTCGAAAATGTTTTTCGTGCTTTGATGGAGACATACCCTTTTTGTCATTCAAATCCTGCTGTTTTTGACCTACTCATTAGGGTTTGTTTAAGGGAGAACATGATTGGAGATGCTGTGAAGACTTTTCACTTGATGGGTTCTCGAGGGTTCAACCCGTCTGTCTACACTTGTAACATGGTGCTAGGTTCATTGGTGAAGGAGAAGGACCAGAAAGTTGATTTCTTTTGGTCATTTTTCAAAGAAATGCTTGCTAACGGGGTTTCTCCTAATGTTGCCACGTTCAATATATTGTTGAATGCTTTGTGTGGACGTAGCAAGTTTAAAAGTGCGGCGTTTCTCTTGAGGAAAATGGAAGAGACCGGTCATTTTCCAACTGCGGTCACTTATAATACTTTGCTTAATTGGTATTGTAAGAAAGGAAGGTATGAGGAAGCTTCTGAGCTTATTGACTCCATGCTATCTAAGGGTATTTCGGCCGATGTTTGTACGTATAATATGTTGATAGATAATTTGTGCAGAAAAGGTAGGAGTGCGAAAGGTTATTTAATATTGAAAAGGATGAGGAAGAGTATGGTGTATCCTAATGTGATCACATATAATACTCTTATTAATGGATTTGTTAAGGAGGGGAAGATTGGAGTTGCTACAAAAGTTTTTGATGAGATATTGTCATGCGACTTGTCACCAAACAATATTACTTACAATACTTTGATTTTCGGTCACTGTAGCATTGGCAACATTGATGAAGCCTTGAGACTTTTTGATGTGATGGTTTCACATGGTTTGAGACCTAACGAAGTGACTTACGGGGTTCTTTTAAATGGGATATCCAAGCATGCTGAATTTAGATTGGTTTCCAGTATTCTTGAGAGAATGAGGATGAATGGTGTGATAGTTAGTCATATTAGTTATACGACAATGATCGATGGATTGTGTAAGAACGGCCTGCTTGAAGAAGCTGTACAGTTGCTGGAGGATATGCTAAAAGTTTCTGTCAATCCCGATGTTGTTACATTTTCGGTACTCATTAATGGGTTTCTTAGGGCAGGGAAGATAAATAATGCAAAGGAGATAATGTGTAAAATGTACAAAGCGGGACTTGCGCCAAACAACACTTTGTATTCAACATTGATCTACAACTACTGCAAGATGGGAAACCTAAACGAGGCGTTAAATGCTTATGCAGTTATGAACCACAGTGGTCATGTTTCAGATCACTTTACATGTAATGCGTTGGTTGCCACATTTTGTAGATCCAAAAGACTTGAAGAAGCCGAGTATTTTATGGACCACATGAGCAGGATGGGTCTTGATCCTGACTCTGTTACTTTTGATTGCATTATAGATAGTTATGGAAATTCTGGTGACGCGTTAAAAGCGTTCGCTATGTTTGATAAAATGAATAGTCTAGGCCATTTACCAAGTCAGTTCACGCACGAGGGTCTATTGAAAGGACTTCTTATTGGCGGACATATTAATGAAGCCAAAATATATCTGCGTAGACTTACTAACATTCCTTATGCCATTGGTAGTCTTTTCTACAACTCGATGCTTACTTTAACATCAAGATCAGGAAATTTATCGAATGCAGTTACCCTTCTCGATGAGATGGTTATGAATAATTTTGTGCCTGACGGCTTTACGTACACCAGTCTTATTGCAGGACTATGCAGGAAGGGTAAAATGGTCCCTGCACTTCTTTTGTCTGGAAGGGCAATTGAAAAAGGATTATTATCTCCAAATCCTGCTATGTACACTAGTTTAGTTGATGGTCTTCTTAAGGAAGGACATTCAAAAGTTGCTTTATATATATTTGAAGATATGTTGAACAAAGGTGTTCTCCCTGATACTATTGCATTCAATGTTCTCTTGGATCGATACTCACGGAAGGGAGAAATGTCGAAGGTAAATGATATCCTTTCAACAATGAGGAGTAGAAGTCTAAGCTTCAACTTGGCTACTTACAACATTCTCTTGCATGGATATTCAAAGAGGCATGACATGACAAGATGTTGTCAGTTATACAATAAGATGGTCGGACATGGTTGTGCGCCTGATAAGTTAACATGGCACTCTCTTATTCTTGGATATTCTAAATCTGGATCATTAGACGTCGCTGTAAAAATTCTAAGAAAGATAACAGTTGAAGGTTTCAAAGCTGATTGTTTTACGTTAAACGTGCTTGTTAATAAGTTCTGTGAACAAAATGAGATAAAAACGGCATGCAATCTGGTAAAACAAATGAGTATGTTAGGAGTTACTCCTAATGTTGATACATACAATGCTCTTTTTAATGGATTTATTAGAACTTGTGCTTTTGATGAAGCTCATTGTATTTTGCATGCCTTGTTGGAAAATAGTTATGCTCCTACATGTAAACAATTTACCTCGTTAATTAAGGGCATGTGTAGAATGGGAAATATAAAAGGAGCAATGGAGCTGCAAGATGAGATGAAAATACTCGGGAGCGGCTCCCAAGGTGTTGCTATGAGTGCTATTATTAGAGGGCTTGCACGTTCAAAGAAAACTGACAATGCTGTTCACGTTCTTGATATCATGCTTGAGATGCGAATCATTCCAACTGTTGCTACTTTCACGACATTAATGCACACCTATTTCAAAGAAGCTAATGTTGCCAAGGCATTGGAATTGAGGAGTGTAATGGAACAGTGTCACGTGAAGCTTGATGTTGCTGCATACAACGTTCTTATATCTGGCCTTTGTGCCAATGGTGATGTTCAAGCTGCTTTTAAACTTTATGAAGAGATGAAACTAAGAGATCTTTGGCCTAATACCTCTATATACATAGTTCTTATTGATTCATTTTGTGCCGGAAATTATCACGTTGAAAGCGAAGAGCTATTGAAGGATTTACAGACCAGGGAATTGATGTCATTAGATTTGTGTGGAGGCACTGAAAGACTGAAAGAACTATTGATGATTGCAAGGAAAGAATTAATTCGTATGAGGTACAAAACAAGAAGAAAATATGGTTAATCACAGCAAGAGACTTTTTCTTTTTCTAGAATTTGAGTTGGCACGAGTGATGTTAAAAATAAGAACTCCGATGGTACCATTCACAGGAAGACCGCCGATCGTATCTCCTGAGGGAAACTAAATGGTAGGTATATTGTATATTCCTACTAGATTCTTGTTGTAGAATGTCTTCAATAGTTTTTAGGATCTGATTCATTTTGCTTTTGGTTTGTTATTCCCATTTGCAGCGACAAATACTACATCAAATTGAAAAAGGAGGCACCAAACAGATGGTGTGACATACTCTAATCCTGCCAAGGTTTTGAAAATTTCAAATAAGGGTGCAAATCTGGGAGCTAGCAAACAAGTTACTGTGGCACGGAGTGGTGAATCCTAGTCATCAGATTTATGTCCTAGATCTAATGGATGTGCATGGGTTCTGAAAATAATTCATCCCAGTTGTCAAATGGTAAGGGTCTTTTAGCAAGAACAAATAGGGTAAAATTGCGTAACCTTCTTGCAGCAGCCGAAAGTGCGGATATTTTGAAAGTCCCTTAGTTGAAGGTGATTCAAGAATAGTAAATGTGTGTTTTGGTCATGCTATCTAGGGCATCAAGATAAATCAGATTTCAACTATTTATTTTCCATTTTTCAGGTACGTTTTCAAAGGAGCAAAATGCACGACTGGGTCTTGTTGTTCTACTTTGAGTATATCAGGTTTTGTCAAGAAAAGTCATTGATGCAATTATTGTTTTGCAGGAGATTTTGAGAAAGTGCTCGTCACTTGTTTACCAAACATAGGAGAGATTCAAGTTCATGGATTAATGGTATGTGCTCCTTTTTAGTAAGTGTCTTTTGTGTATTTCTGCTACAAGGAGTTTGTGTTGATCATACTGCGGCATATACTGCTAGGTAAGGCCTTTAAAATGTTTGCAGGTTCCATGTTTACCCTGTGACATGGCTATTGTTTTAAAACAATGGGACTTGTTGACTTATAACTGTGAAAATAAAACAAGATGCAATAGTGAAGAAAAGAGAGGATGGATTTTCTACTATTTTTCCTTCCAATTTTATGTATCACTATCACCTTTTGTTTTTATGTGAAACCCTAAATCCATTGTTCTTTATGTTTTGTTATAATCATTATTCTTCAATTAGGAAGTGTGCTTTACTTTGAGCAATTGGAAAATCCTTTGGTATTTTGGATTTTTTTTTTTTGGGTGGGATACTTTAGTTTTTATTCTTCAATGCATTTGTTCCTTTTTTCACATACAAGTGAAAGACACATAAAGATGCTGATAATTGGATGGAGTCAAATCAATTGTTAATAAATCAACAAAACCCCTTTCCATATTAATATCTCTTTACATGCTTGAATGCTTCTTGGTGCAGGAGTTCTGGTGATATAACTTCTCTCTCGGGGCTTAATTGATGATCAAGTTGATCCAATTTCTGGAATGGAGATGAAGTGCGCGTCAAATGTTAATAGAGATGTCCCCATGTGTTCTACTAGCGCAGTTAATATTTTACACTCACACCAGAGTTTCTGTGGCTTTGTGCAACAGCCTGTTTTTGTGAGTGGATGGCTGTATGTGAATGAACATGGACAAATGTGTGGTCCAAATATTAAGGAGCAATTATATGAGGGGCTAACTACAGGTTTCTTGCCATTTGAGCTTCCTGTGTATCCTGTAATCAATGGCACAATAATGAACCCCGTGCTATTGAATTATTTCTTGTCAGATGGTAGAGCTATATCTGTTCTCTGCTTTGTTAAATATGAGTTAGCTTGACATTCGTGTCGCTTATTTTGATGATTGTGTCTTGTTTCTTGTTTTAGTCGAGAGGAGAATGTTTTTGGCTTTATGAGGACAAAAAGGGTATGAAACATGGGCCGCATTCCATTTCAGAATTGATTTCCTGGCACCACCATGGAACCATATGTGGATCAGATTCCAAAAGCAATATAGTCGGTGATGTGATGAACTTGAATTGTGAAATACCTGAAGACATTTCTTCCTAATTGTACATGGGTGTAACGAAAGCTGCCCGAAGAGTTGTGCTAGATGGGATTATTGGCGATATCATTTCAGAATTTGTTACTGAAAAGAAATGCAAGAACCAAAAGCTTGAGTCTTCTGATCGAACTTCTGAAACTTGCACGTTGGATAGTAAAATGGTAACGTTTAATTGCTTTTTGCAGTTTTGGAATACTTGAAGTTTTGTTCATTGTGCCAAGTCATTGAATATTTCCGTGAACAGTTCGTGTTTTATGTGTAGATGAACAACGGGGCTTCCATTTCTCCTAGTGAAGCATGCACCTTCCCTTTTTTGGACAACTCATTAATATTATGAAAGTCCACAATGCAAGCCACTATCTCTAGAAGTTTATCTAGCGTCTGCAAAATTCAATGACTTATCTATCTTCTTGATTTCAAACTCCGAAAATCTCCCAAAATAATTCTATATCGTGATAGCCAATCAGCTCGACACATTGATGCTAATTCCTCCTTCATGAATGCACCAATCACAATAGATCTTGATTTTCATATTTGGTACGTGAGAAACTACAACAAAACTCTTTCACTTATATTGTCAATTTCTTCTGCACAACAGTTGGCCGATGTATTCATAAAAACTACTTGATCATTGCCTATTATTCCATAAGTTTATTAACAAGTTGTACTTAACATACATGTGTGGTCCAACTTGAGGGGAATAATCCTCATGTGTTCCAACTTCGGTTCTAACTACAAGTCCAACTTTGGAGGAATTAACATCTCACCTCACACCCCCATCATGTATGCTTTTACTATTATATCTTGTGAATAATCATTAAGTTTTAAAAAAAAATGAGTTTTACCGGAAATTGGGGGTATTGGAAATTTCGAGAAAATTCTGGAAAAAAATTTCGAAAATTTCCAGTCCAATTCTGAAATTTTCCAGTACAGTACCGGAGATTTTGGTATATTTCGAAATTTTCAGATTTTTTTTTTTGTTTTTCTTTCACAACATAAAATCGAAAATTTCGCAAAAGAACCGGGTTTTTCTGAAATTTCCGGGAAAAATACCGAAATTTTTGAAAAGTTATTGGGTTTTTCAAAAAACCCAGTAGTTAATTTCAGTTTTTTTTCAATATCTGAAATTTCAGTGTATTTGGATTTTTTGGTAGACACTTGTATATCGGAAATTTCAAATACACTTAAAATTTCCGTATCAAAACTTTCTTTTTTCAAAATTTTTATCTATAATTTTGTTTTTGCACCCCCCTTAACTTATTTACTTATGCAATGAGGGGTGCCATGGGAGGTGGGACTTTGAGTTCTAACCTCTTGTAGGAGTTGAGTTAATTTTTTTTTTGATTGAATTAAAATCAATTGATTCTACAATAGTTTCTTTTTTATTAAGCAAATATTATAATAGGGAGTTAAAATGGATACTCCAACCCATTACAAAGATAGTAAGATCTGAGCTAAACATTATCAAGAGAAACCGCTATCTACCTTCGAGGGCTCATGATTTGTATGCTCGAAAGCTAGACAAAGCAAAATATCAATAACACGTTCGAACTACAAACACAACAACCTAAGCAATACAAGTCTTGTGCACAAACCACATCCCAACAGACTACTACACTCAAGACAAGCCCAACAAATACTTAAATGGGAAAATATTTACCTGTCACCCTTCATATTAAACTTGGACACCCTCCAATTTTTTAAATATCAAGAACAAATTTAGGGATGTAGCGGTGGAAATATTCAAGATTAAGCCATTGAATTGACTAAACATTATACAAATCAAAATAAAAATCGCCACCGCGCTTTATTGTTTCCAAAGAAATGAGAAAAGAGCGAATAACTCAAAAAAAGAAGAGGAAATATTCAAGATAAGGGGGTTAGTTATGCAAAGAGAAGATATTAGCACCCTAAACATCTACGGTACTCCGCAGAAGCCTCTTTGTAAAATCTGTATATTTTGGCTATGAAAAAATGTTGTATATAAAAAGTGGATGGTGGAGGTAAGAAAAGAAATATATTTATTTTATAATTTTTGCACCCGTCGCGGTTGCGAACCTTTAGTGTCTACGTACCACCTTTTCGTGCAATAGGGGATCAGGATACACGTAGTTCCTCTTTTAAAAATTTAAAACACAAATGCGTTGGTTAATTTTATGAGATAAAATATCATCGTCATTGTCCGTGTGGAAAACATACCTACTATCCACAATCATGAGAAAAGAGAATTTGCATCATCTCAAAGTGGAGGATATGACTTGGATTTCAAAATCAATAATGCCTCACTCAACACCCAAGTGGAGAATATCTCTCTTCACTATATATTGTAGAAGTATAGTTGTTTGCATCACTACAAGGACTGAGAAGAGATCAACCTTTTTTGAGAAAAGTTTAAAGATAAAAAGTCAAAGTGGCAAAATGGTTTGAAATGAGATTGATTGACTTTTAGTCTTCTCACAAAAAATGTCAAGGTATTATTAAGTTGATTCGAGTTTATTTATGAAAAATGTTTTGAGAATGCATGGACATAAGTCCAAGTTTATTATGAAAGTGGTTAAAGTTTAAAAACAAGAAGAGTTTTCAAAAAAAAGGGAAGAAGATTTTTGAAATTAAAGAAGATGGGAGGAGAAGAAGGGACTATCCTAAAGCATAAGGTAAAAGCTAGGGATAAGAACCATCTAACCAACAAGAAGCCAATACTTGACATTATGAGGCAAGATAGAATTCCTATTCCTTGGATTGAAATCAATCAAGCAAAAAAAATACTAGACCTTTTGAGAAAACTAAACTTCAAGTGTATTAAGTCTTCACAAAAATTGGGCAGAGTAACGACTGTATATGGATGAATTCCAGATTACAAACAAAGGGTGTAATCACAAAAACCTGCACAAAAAAAAATAAGCAACTCAATATCTTGAGGTAAACCTCAAGAACTCCAGATAAAATAATCAGATAAGATCACAAGGTCTCCAAGATAGGCCAAGGTTTCTAATCCTAAGTCCAAAAAAAGTCCCATGCTCCATAATGCCAAGGATAGTAACCAAATAGTCCAAGTACCATTAAAGATTTTTTAGGGTTTATGTTGATTATTAAGTATCTTAAGAAAGGAAAAGAAAAGCTCAAGTGAGCAAAATAAAAATGGCAAGAAAGTAAATGCTCAAATGAGAAAAGATGAAAATGATATGAAATGTAAATGCTAAAAGTAAATAGTATATAAAGCATAAAAAAGAATAACAGTATAAGGTAAAACAAGTCAATAATTAGTGGTTAGTTGGATGACCATCTAGAAGTTTGCATTTGGAACTCATTAGAGGATTGGTAGAACCAAAGCCTCCACACAACAAGTTGCATTTGCTTTTTGTCAAGTATATCGTCCATTTGGAATTCTCATGAGTACCATTTAATGATCAACGATGTTTAAGTGATCCGCGTTTACCAAAGATGTTGTAGATCCATTAGAGGATTGGTAGAACCAAAGCCTCCACACAATGAATCTCAAGGTTATTGGATCAAAGAGATCAAATTAACATACTCAGGCTTACAATCATAAGTTTGGGCCACGAATGATCATTTATTCGAATCGGGATAAAATTTAGCGCTATGTTAAGCAATCGTAAGTGGACTTATATAGAAGTCACACCTATTTTGAGGCCGGTCAATAGCAATCTATGCACCATTTGTTTTGAGACATGATATAGAGATCATGCTCCAATAATATTTAGTGCAATAAGAAAGGGATGAGATGAAGAGGGATGGGGAAAAATATACAAACCATATTTGAATTAAATTTTAATCAAACTATTCTTAAAATTATTCATCCATTTTTGCGGAGTTAAACTCAACACCATGGATTCAATGATGTTAATAAAGTTCATGATCCAAAATCTAACCCAAGATCATCCATAAAATAGTCACAAAATAATATCACATTTAATATACACAAAAGGGTTTAAAAAATGTTTTAAAAATAGAAAATAATGAGAAAAATATCAACTATGTTCAAATTAATCAAGAAATGAAAAGTAAGACCATAGAAAAATCAGAAAAAGGCTTAAATAATTTTACAAATATTTTGGTAATTTTTTAAAGTCAGAAACTATTTTTAAAATTAAAATAAATGGGTAAAATAAAAAAAAAAGGGTAAAAAATAGTAAAGTCAGAAACAAAAATAAAATAAGGTCACTAATATTTGTCACAATATTATTGGATCATTCCATAATTTTTTTAGAATTTAAAAATGTATAAAAGTATTTTTAAACATTTAAAATAAATCAAACAAGTGTAAAATTTATAAAAAATATCAAAACACAAAATTAAATTGTGAAAAAATAAAAATCAGAAAGAGAATAATCAAAAATATTTTTCATAATTTTTTCAGCTTTTTTGGACTAAAAATGAATTTTCTATGATTTTTTGAAATTTAAAACAATTAAAGTATAAAAATCAGAAAAAGAAAATAAAAGTAAAATATGTGGACCATTGGATAACAGTCAAAACACGTTAGTAATCAAATTCAAGGGATCTGGCGCGCTGTGCATATCATGGTCATTAGTGAATATTGTACAAAATCATTAATTAAATCAGAATTTGAAAAAAAAATAGATGTCGCGCTTTCATTGGTTGGAAGATGACACGTTGATCATCTTCAACCTCCAGCCATCACAAATTACATGTCTCTCAAACTGTAAAATCAGAAACTCAGACCTATGCCATTCGCTTCGTCTCTTCAAGACGAAGACAACCACACCCTCGCGCCAAATTTATATAAACTGTAGCTCAAACAATTTGAAAGGAAAGTTTTGAAAAGGGATTTGAAATTTCATGGTCAAAACGTATTTCCAGTAAAAGGTAAGTGTTGCGACTAGAACCAAGGCAATGAGAGCAACACAATGATATCAGAGTTTTGAAGAATTGATGAAGGAATCTACCTATTGAAGTTGAGTTGCAGAGCTCTGAAACTGGACTTCTATGGAGCAGTATAGGGCACGATTCTTGAATGTAATTATGTGGTTAGCTTCAGGGAAGATCAAGGAAGGTGAATTGATGGAAAAATAGGATTGAAAAAGGCTCGAGAATGGATTTTGAAGTTACTAAATTATGAGTTGTGAAACAAGTTTGGCAGGGTGATTCTGGCTATCCAAGCTTGGGAAAATGAATGGGATAGTACATGTATTTATAGGAGAAGCGAATGGGATCAAGGAAGAGTGAATGATTTGTTTTAGAGGGAATTCGTGCAAACCTGATGCACGAGTGAAGTGTGATTCAAACTTCACCAAAACTCATCTAATTCTTGCGTTTTGATGCACTAATCCATTTGAGAAAGTTGGCTAATCATGT